GAACAAATGAACGAGATGCATTTGCTGTAGCACCTTTTTTACCAAAAGTTCGTCTATTACATATAAAGAAAGAAAAAAAAAAACAAAGATAATAAATTAAATAATATAGATAATTTTTTTTTACGTTTTTGAATCGTAATAAATATCACCCCATAATCGTTTTGCTAATGCTTGATAATCAAATGCATGACCTAAAATATTCGATTAGTTTAGATTTCAAAAAATGTTTCATATTTTATTTACCATGTGTATCAGCATAAATTTTAGCAAATGATTTAAGTGTAAAACAAAATCGATAATATGAACTGGCAAAACATACATTGTTAAGTAATGGTGATACATATGAAGCATTACTTTCATCTTCAGAATATGTTCTAAAACAACAAATAATATCATTGTAGAGAATCGTTTTTTTTTTTTTTCTTTTTATGTTTATAAGTGTCTCAAGTATAAAAAGTGACAAAAGAATGAATTACATATTGATTTTGATTTCTTTTAGCATTGTTTAATTATTGTAGAAAATCTTTTTTTTTTTTTTTTTTTTTTTCAAATAATTTTGACTTTATTTAAATTAACATAAATATACAATGCTAATAGAAATCAAAATCAATATGTAATTCATTCTTTTGTCACTTTTTATACTTGAGACACTTATTAACATAAAAAGAAAAAAAAAAAAAACGTTATAACTTCAATATTTCAATCTATTCATCTGAAAATATTATCGAGTGCACTCTAGAGTAGATATTTAAAATCACTACTTGAATTATATAAAGTATTTTTTTTTTGTATAATTTGCTTTAATTTTTTGTTAATGCAATAAAATTACTGTTAAAAGAATGAATATATTCTTATTCCAATAAAATAATCACTAAAGTTATAATTCTCTAGTAAGTGTCGAGATTGGATATTTGCTATTAGATGGAACAATATTGGAGACGTCTATCTGTGTAACATTTTCAGTTAGAAATTTTTTCTTTTGTTGTCTATTTCTACAACTTTTCGTAGAGATCTAAACTCAAATTACGCCAAAAGAGTGTTGAACTCCTTATATAATTGTTCGGTTGTTTCATCCTCATTATAGACTCATGTTTCAAAAGAAGTGTTCTAAAATCTGGGGATTTTATACGAAATACAACTCTCTTTAAGCTGCATTTTGATATAATTTGAGCACAAATTGCTACGAAAAGCTATAGAAATGGATTATGGAAATAAAAATGGTTTAACTACAAATATTTATGAAGAACTTCTTTGGATCTAATGGCAAAAAGCCAACTTCGATAGCTATATACGATCAAAAATTATTCAAAAAATCGAAGTAATATCTCGCGTCTATAACGAGATCCGAGCCATTACGGAGGGCCTATTGAGACTAGAAGAATTTTTTTCCATATGCTGTCCTTTTAAAGTTACGGACGTTACATTGGATTTTTTCCTTTTAATATGGTATTTATTAAAAAAATCGAACCAATACATTTCTCCATAAACAGCATTAAAATCTTAATATTTCAGTCAAAACGAAACCACTCTTTTTCGCTGAAATTCAATGGTCCGGGTTTTTTGTTTTTCTACCTAATGACTGAGATCCTTATCTCAAATATGAAGTATCACCTTTGATGGTTTCATCATTAGTATTTTCCATTCCGACACAAACTTTGAAATGATCACTATCATCTCAACTCTCTATCCTAGATAAATCATTATATTTTCGTAATAATTCACAAAACTATTCGATAATTTCTTACTTAATTAATCCATTAACTTCATCAACAATATGTTTAATTTTAAAATATGCATCTTGTGGTGGTAATTTAAGTTCAAGTACAAGACGATCAATTTTATTAATACATAATGTTATTGCAAGACGTTCTTGTATAGCATGTTTAATTAATCGATCTGTATTAAGCATAACACCTTCATGAGCATCAACAAAAATAACAACACCATCACATAAACGAAATGCAGCTGTAACTTCATCAGAAAAATTAACATGACCTGGTGTATCTAATATATTAAAAAGAAAATTTTTATCTTTAAGATCAGGTAAAAGTATTGTAAATGGTATAGATTTAATTGATACACCACGTTCTTGTTCAGTAAATAATGTATCAGTATATCTTAACTAGAAGAAATATAATTAAAAAAATTTGTTATGCATTTTTTTTTTTGTGAAAATAAAAAAAAAATAATATACTTCTTTATTTTCAGTTGATGCTAAATATGGATGAGTTTGTTCAATTAATGAATCACAAAACGTTGTCTAAAGTTTAAAAAATATAATAACAAAAATGAAAAATATTTAACATTTTTACTTTTCCATGATGTAATTGTCCACATATAGCAACATTTCGTACAAGTTCAGGACTATCCATTAAATCAGCTAAATATCTAAAGAATAAAAAAAAAACGAATTTATATTTATAGAATAATTGTTAATTTGATTCTTTTTTTTTTTCTTTACTCAAGATCATATATTGTTTCAGGTATTTCTTGTTCAACAAATGAAAATTTTGCTTTTTTTACTGGTGCAATAATTGGTTCAGTTAATGCTTGTGTATCTTCTTCTTGAACAACTGTCTCAACATCAGGTCCATAAAGTTCTAAAGCACTTGGATAATATTTTTTATCTTCATGTAAGACAACAGCTGTTGATAAATTTGAAACATCAATAGCTTCATCTTCACCTCCAGCTTCATCACCATCATCTTCCTATAATAATAATAATAATTATTATTATTATTATTATAAAAATTATTTAATCTACAAACCATATCACTTGTTTGATCAACATTTGCTAATTCTTGTCGATAACCATTTTGTTGTTCATCATCTTCTTCGTCCGATTCAAGTTCTGGACCCATATAATTTCCAAATTGATCATAAAGATCTGTTTGATCCATGTTCGAAGAAAAAGAATAATTTATCTGAAAAAAAATAAAATAAAATAAAAACGAAATTCCATTCTATTCAATTTAGATCATAAATCGATAATCGCTATTTAAACAATAGTATAACATTGAAATATGACGAAAATGATTGATCAATAAACTCTCCTAAATAATAGAAAGATAAATAATTATTTTTATATAAAGACAAATAAGATATTTGATTGAAGGTTATTTAACTTATAGAGTTCATTTCATTCGTATCTTATTTCCAGAGACGTTGTTGTCATTTGGAATAAATAGAAATCAAATCTTCTAAGGTGAAATATTCATTTTAAGATGATATAATAAATTTCCTATTAACTTATTCAAGTGAGCAGTAACAAGAAATAATAAACTTAATGTCCGCATGAAATGTTTTTGTTTGTCTTCGGACTTCGAGAAATTGTAATATTTGAATCCATACTATTATTATTTTTCGTTGTAATGAATCTCTATAACAATATATGATATGACTAAAACTACGAAGAACTCAAAGAATTCATCATTCTTAAAATAATAATGAGAATCGAAAGAAATACTAAAATAAAATTTATTAAATAACTTTATATATTATCAAAATTCAGTATTGATTATTATTCTTTATTAATTAAAAATTAAAAGAATTTTGTTTGAATTTAAGTATTTATAATATGAAAATCGAATAGAATCAATTGTAAAAGTACAAAATAAAAATGAGATAAATATAAAGCAAAATGAAAAAAAGAAAAGAAATCTGACACAAATGATTATGCAAGAATAACAACAACACTTTAATCCCAACAACGACTCATAGAGTCGATTGCGAGTCGACAACAGAATGTCCAAGTGTTGCATCATACAATTCTCTTCTTCTTTTTTTTTCAACAACTTGCTCGATGTCCGAGCGAACAAATATATTTGATCAAGTGTAAGTAATCATTTTCAAACAAACTTAAAATAAAACCGAAAGAACAAGAAATATACGATTGAGTAAGTGAAATCAATTTTTTTTTCTCATGTTCATCATATACATATATACATTTTCATCATTTTGCATAGAACAGTAACATAAATAAATCATCGGTTATTATCTAACAATAACAACAGACAAATTTTTATCAAAAAAAACGAATTATTTTATTTCTTGTCTATTTCAATAGTCATTCTTCAATGAAAAATTCTGATTGTCATCAACCTTCAGGTTACCTCATTTTTCTCTCTTTTTTTTTCTCTTTGCTTTCATATTCGATACTTTTCATATAATCTATACATATATTCTTGTATATGCAATATATGTATACCAATCGGTAATTTGTCGTATCGTGTCTGAATATAGACATACACTTTAGCACTGCTGCCATCAATTCATAGTGTATATATTTCAAATACGATGGACATATACATATACTGAGAGGAGCGAAAGAGAGACGGAGAGTGAGAGAGAGAGGGAGTAGAGAGAAAAAAAGTCGCATATATATGTGTTCGAATATAAATACGATAGAACTTTCTCTTTTGAGCATGAATACAAGAAAGAAATAGTTACCTTCTTATTATTATCATTAGTACTATGTTCATCAGCAGGGATTCAAGTAAGCAATTACTAATTTCCTTTTTTTGTCAAGGTTATTCCAAAAAATTTTGATAATATTTATTCAATATATGTCCCTCAATTGAAGGATTATAAACTATAAAATATGATGTTATCAAAAGTTCGTCATTTGTTTCTTTTTTTTTTTTTTTTTTTTTTTTTGAATTGGAAATCATTTTAAATCTCATGAATAGTATATATCGTCATGAAATGAGCTCAAAAATAAAATAATAATTTTTTTTTTGAAAGAATAAGAAAAAAAAAAAGAAGAAATTCATAACAAAATTCTATTTTTTTCTTCTCGTTTACATAGATTAAATGTATCAAGCTCGATAAATTCCTTTTCTTTTTTCATGTCTTGTCATATTCATTAATAATTGTTGATTGAAAATAAAAAAACAAACAAACAACAATAACAGGTAAGTGACAGTTCTTACTCAAATATACGTGACACATACAGTTTATTTTATTCATTTATTAAATTTTTCATATATAGTGAAATAGAAATGCGTCGAGGAACAACCATAAATTCATGGCAAGATTTACATACAATGACAAGTTCATGTTTAAATCAAAGTGCAGGTTTTGATAATCAACCATTTCATTCAACTAAACAAAATCAACAACAAACAAAGGCTACTGCCTATTATGAAACAGATCATTCATCAGTACCCTGCAGACCACTTTCACCACCAATAAGTTCTTTAAATAACAATCATGAACGTGCAAAAAGTGCTGATCATTCTCAAATGTCATTAAATGAAAAAACGCCAATGGCACCATCTTCTTCGTCTACATATACTAGCACATTGAATAATCCAGCAAAAACAACTTTACGTTCGTCTCGTTTAGTTAATGCACGTAGTAATAGTACTGTTGGTACTCATTCAAATACAATACATATTGATGAACTTCATCAAACACAACAAGAATGTGAAAAACATGAATTAGATATACTTAATAAACGTTTTGGAAATTATTTAGATAAAATAAAACATTTAGCTAATATAAATGCTAATCTTCGTCAACAAGTTGATAATGCATATAGAAAATATATGGGACATAATGAAGAACAAGAAATTGAAATAAAAAATGATAATAAAATAATTATTAAAAAATATCAACATCCATATGAAATTCAATTAAATAATTTACGTAAACAAATTAATAATGAAGTACGTTCACAAACATTAGTACAAATACGTTTACAACGTGCTGATTATGATATTCAATTTTATCAAAATAATATTAAATTATTAACATTACATGAACAAAAACAATCCGAACAAATTCGAACAATGAAACAACAACTTGAAGTTAATCTACAAGAATTAGAACAACTTAAACGACAATTTGAAAATCGTGAACAAGATTTACAAGTAAGAGAATATATTTTACAAGGAAATGTATTAAATATAGATAACATAGTCCTGACAGGACCGGGATCGATATTTTTTCATTAGAAATAATATCTTTTATGGTCGTGTACGATTTGGATTAAATAGCATATTCTCATGAGTTATGTGTTCTAAAAGCTTATATGAAGATTATTAAGTAACGATAACTTCAATATTTACTCTTACCATAATGATAGTAAAATTAATCCTTTGTCTTTCGTAAACAACAGAATTGTCGAACTATTAGAGATCATACAAGATGTCTATTAAAAATAATTGTTTCTCGAGCCGGAGCGATAGATCTTACTTATCACTAGAATGTATCCAAGTATCCGATCGCTTTTTATTTCAAGATTATATTCAGATGATAGGCTATGATAATCACCATCAAAGCTTAAAGTGATCCAGTTGTTTGAACCTTTGTTCTTAACATATCGAATTTCGCAATGAACTAATATCATTGAGAGTTTTATTTTTGTAAAGTTTCAAGTTTTATGATGACCTGAGATAATCGAACCATCTTAGGTCTTAACACTACTCTTTACAGTCTCAATCAAAAAGCAATCGAACACTTCGTTATGTTTCCTCGGCAGACAAATTTTGATTACGTTGAACAACTACACTTCTTTTCCATTTTTAATACATGTTCTGAGGAAACTATTTCAAAATTTGTCCGAAGTTTGTTTTAATGGGTTTGATGACTTGTTCAATAGAACAGAACATTTTACTGTAGTTTGACCTTTGTAAATCTTAAAATTTTGATTCCGTATATTTAAAAATGTGAATCGATCGATTGAGTCGTCGCCGTCGGGACACAAAAACAGATACTAGATTTTTGAAAACTAGAATAATTTTTCATGAATTCTTCTATCTAGTTTCTTATCATCACGTTTCCAACATTATTAATTCATGCATTTCTTATAATTAAACTTAAATTTTCAAAATAGTTTTTCTTTGAATAAAATTCAAATTGTTTTTCTTTTATTTTATACAGATGTACAAAAATCAATATAATGAATATATAAATAAATTAATCAAATTTTCTAATGATTATGATAAAATAACTTATGATCGAATGGAAAATGAAAATAATTTATCTACTCTTAAAGAACAATTATTATTCGAACAAGAATATTATCATAGACGACAACAAGAATTTGAATATTTAGAAAAATTTCACTATAATTTAAATAAAGAATTTAATAAAAATGAATTTCATTATATTGTACAACAAATTCGGTTAGTAATTCTTTTCTTATTTTCTCAAACACAAGAAAATGTTCAACTATTCGAGTAAAAATTTCGATTCTCACAACCATTGTGATGTGCACTCTAAAAAATATTCTCTCGAAAATTTTCGAACCCAATGGGCTCTATCGTATATCAATATAATATCATAAGTTATTTCCTTATTCCATTTCTAGAGAATTAAATAAATGAATGATGTGTTTCAAACTATTATCCATTTCTGAAAATAAGTCGCTTGGGCAGAATTCTTATAACTTTTGAAAGGAAAATGATAGAGACCTGGGATTTTCACCGTTGGATAGAGGACATCAGGGCACGTAAGGCTATGTAAAAAAAGATCTGTTATACAAGGTACGTGTTTATAACTTTTTAATAAATTTGTGAAAAACCGCTAAAATAAGCTTCAAATTTAGAANGTGGGTGTGTGTGGATGTGGGTGTGTGTGGATGTGGGTGTGTGTGGATGTGGGTGTGTGTGGATGTGGGTGTGTGTGGATGTGGGTGTGTGTGGATGTGGGTGTGTGTGGATGTGGGTGTGGGTGGATGTGGGTGTGGAGTGTGGCTACAAAGGATTCACCCATATCCACGCTACACCCACACACCGTACACCCACACCCTAGCCCCCCATATCCATGCTACACCCACACACCGTACACCCACACCCTAGCCACCCATATCCACGCTACACCCACACACCGTACACCCACACCCTAGCCACCCATATCCACGCTACACCCACACACCGTACACCCACACCCTAGCCACCCACACCCTAGCCACCCACACCCACACATCGTACACCCACACCCTAGCCACCCACACCCACACTCACATCCACACCCACACACTCACACCCACACCCCACACCCTAACACACCCACTATTCCAAGGTGTATCTGCTTATTTTTAACCAAGTAGATTTTAGGTGTCATACTTTGATTCAAAAGATTTTTCTTTGTAGATCTTTCAAGTTGATACTTGTGCCACTTGATAAGATTTAATTTCAGCAATATCGAAAATACTATGTATTCGTGATAGCTATAACACACCCACACCCACACCCACACGCTACATAATGGTGTAGCTATGGGCTCACCATTAGCGCCCATCATAGCTGATATCTTCATGATAGATCTCGAACGAAAATTGATGAAAAAGCTAAGAAAGAAGGGCGTACTATGGTACAAAAGGTTTGTAGATGACATATTTTTTGTAATAAGAAAAAATTTTAATCCTCACAAAATACTGAGCATTCTTAATAGCTATCATTCAGACATTCAATTTACATCGGTGATAGAAGAAAATCAACAATTACCATTTCTAGATGTATTGGTAAAACGAAAAGCCAAGTCGTTTATAACAGCAGTGTTCAGAAAACCTACATACACTGGTTTGTTGACGAAGTCGACATCATTTGTTCCAAGGCAATACAAAGTGTCAGTAATTAGTAATTTAATATATCGCGCAATACGCATTTGCTCTACATACTCACTCATGCATGAGGAATTCGATTTCATCCGTAGGATTTCTCGAGAGAATGGGTATCCAACACATTTCATTGAAAATCAAATAAGACAAAATCTAAATAGATATATTCAGAAACAGACAGAGGTTTCGATACAAGGTGTTGTTCAAGGTACAAGTGAAGATCCAAAACAAGTTTCAAAACCAATCAATGACAATGACAAAAAGACAGAACGAATAATATTTGAGGTTCCTTTTGTGGGAAAACATACTCGTAAATACATTCAGGATATCAAAGGGATAGCTGAACAATTGAAACCTACAGCAAAACTAATAGCGGTTTGCAGACCGACAAAAGCTGTACGTCAATTCTTCCCTAATAAAGATCTAATCGATAAAGACATGCAATCTAATATAGTTTATCAGTTGAACTGTTCTTCTTGTCCAGCTACATATATTGGAGAAACTACGAGACAAATGTATAGGCTGCTGAAAGAGCACGGTTCTCCGCAACCTTTAGTGCTGACTCCTGAAGAGGGAGTTCGGCGCTCAGCTCGCATCGCCGAAAAAGCAAAAGCTAAAACAACTGGCATAAGTTTCCTTCCTAATAGTAGTAACGACGAGAATGGAGACACCACAGGATCAACAAAAGCAGATGAACAGGCATTACTAGATATAAAATCAGCAGTTCATCGACATATGCATGAAACAAATCATACTATAGATGGGGAGAATTGGTCTATACTCACGAAAGATAGACATTCATACAGATTATGTGTAAAAGAATCTCTAGCTATAGCTAAATGTTAGCCATCTCTAAATGTCACAACACGTTCAGTCCCGCTTCTGATATACCCGGAAGGTTGTCCAAGCAAACAGAACAATACGAAAAAAGAACTGAAACAAAACAAAAAGCGACAATAATCAAAATTGTATCTCTTTCTTATGTCTTTTGGCTTAGTATAATTGTCATACCTTTTTCTCTTTCTGATTTCTTCCAGCTTACTATGATTGTCATACATTTTCTCTTTCTTTCTTATAAAGCTGCTTCTACTTTAGCATTCCTATAACTAAGTCCTATTTATACAATTCCCAAACATATTAATTCTCAACGTCTCTATATGCATATCTCATATTAGAGTTTAGTCTCATTATGTTTTCTCTACTGTCTGATCATTCTAATTATTATATTCTTACTTTTGTCATACTGTTATACTAATAACTGTTTGTGTTTATTGTAGATTATATCTAGTCAATGATAATAAATTTATCGAAACGTCGATGCTAAAATGAAAAATAGTCTTTTTCTTGCTGCTGTTAAAACAATTCACTTCTGTTTCAAATTGTTGCCCATCAACTCGAGTAATAATTCGAACTTAGAATTTTGGTGAGTTATTTTAGAGTGAATTGAGAAAAAAAATCAGAATTTAAAGATTGAATTTAGAGGCTCCTTTTTCTATAGATCTTACGAAATATTTCTGGATCCGTTAAGCTCTTTAATCTTTAAAAAATGATCCTATGAATCGAATCTTTAAATTCTGGAATTTTTTCTCGATTCAATTGAAAATAACTCATAAAATTCATACTTTGAATTGAATTCAGAAAAAAAAATTCAGAATTAAAACATTGAATTCATAGCACTTATTTTTAAAGATCGAATAGCTTCATGAACCAAGAAATATTTCTTGGGATCTATAAATTCATTTGGAAAATTTTTAGCTTTATAGAGCAGATCTTAATCGTGATGATATGTTCTGTCTATGAGTTCAAATATACCGACCGTCTTTTTCGCTTGTACTATCCAATCTTCGATTTTATTCTTCATGCTAAGCAACGGAATCAGATGTGCAACAAATTTCTTCTCATAGCTGCTATCTCTTTAGGAACTCGATCAATTCAATTAATGATTCGACCATAAAATGAAATTTTGAATTTTATAGATCAAATGAAGATCAATTGAAGGATATAAATAATTATACGAATGTTTTCTATTATCGTATCATGACTGATTCTAGGGACAAATATTTAAGTTCTGTGTCTCGACTAATGTACCCTAACTAACTCGAAAATAGGTTACTAGATTTTTATGAATTTGTATTAGAAACTTTTATTTTGCTATACTAATAAATAATATTTTAAAATGAGAAACAGAAAAAAATGAAATCCATTGCTTCACCAATGAAAATTTAATTCATATATTACTTGCTGTCCTACTAATTAGAAGACACAGACGCATTGCCATCATCAAAGAAAGGGGTGAAAATCTATAAAAATTAACATATGGCATGGGTATACATGTGGAGTTCCTGTTTCTGAAAATATAAAGTAGCTAGTTTATGGTATCATGCATTATTTAAGAAATTTTTTCTCAAGTGAAATCTAACTATTTTTATTCAACTAGTGTGAAGCTCAATTACTAAAAGAGTTAGCACAAAAAATTAGTTTCGTTTAACCTTGAGTAAATATCAAACACAAAGAAAACAGGAAAATAGATAAAATAAGGTGCTGAAAGTTTCCAGAAATTAATTCGATCATAAGAGATATCTATTGAATATTCTATTGATAACATAGCGAACGTTGGTGAACCATGGACTATGGACTAGAGTTTGGTTCACGTTAAATTTGGTTCACTTCTAACGACCGATGCATCGCCCTAAAGAAAAAACACATTCTTTATGGTGATTTATAGCCGTTCTGTGGTGCCATCTATGTCCAATGTCTGCTGATTTCTCGCTTTTCTAGTTCAATCCATTACATGATTTCTCATTTCTTATCATTGTTTCCTATAATTCTATTCTATCTATTATGTTAACCAACTCAATTCACATTGCCAAAACTCAATATAAAGGTTTATTTTTTAAGCAAAAATTCATTCAAAATGGGTCAGTTTCAACTACTCTTTCCTGTTGAATTCTATTTCGAACATAACTAAAAATCGAGGATTTTTTTATCAATCGTTATTCATTTTTATTCATTAATGCTCGATCTCTGTATATTAATAAACTTTGCTTTCTTTATTTAGAACGAACAACATCACCAATAACAAATGAATCAAAATGTATTATTTTTGAACATGGTCAAGTTGAAAAACGTTTTAAAATTTATCAAAATGTATCTTATGAATCTTTGCTTAAGTCGGTTCAAACTGCATTTGGTTTACCAGCTGATGAAACAACAGTTCTTTTTTATCCAGATACACATGATTATATTGTACCTTCAACTGTACAAGATTTATTGATTGATACAGATAGTTCTACCCCAAAATATCGACTTATTACTCGAGATGAAACAGGTAAAAAAATGATATTTTTTTTCATTACATATGGCGAACTTGATTATTGGTTGTAAACGAGTATCTATTGTAAATCTAGTATAATTTGGTGATTGTAAATAACATGCATAAGAAATAGTAGTTCCTGAATAAGTGATCGTTTTTGAAATAAAGAAATAAATTGTATGTCAAATAGGAGATAATACTGACTTTGATTATGTTTTATTGGTGAGGTAAGCCTGATTATAGAATAATTTATTAATAAATATCATTGATTTCAAATCGAATTAATTGAAAAAAAAAGTTGTTCTAGTTTATGATATCTAAAACGGATATCTACTTCTGTGTTAAGATAGATGGATATTAGGGATGGTTTTAAAACGCTTTCATCCGCTCATGTTAAGACTTTATGCCGGAGTTTATCAATCTCATCCTTTACAAATTTTTATGTGTGTAATGAATATGAAAAATTCATATATGCTTCTAGAGAACTTATTATACGTTGCATTTCATAAACCATTGAAATTTCTATTATTTCACGAAATGACTCCAGTTATTAGCTATAAACGATGAAGTAACTTTAATTTCCACTTCTCGTTTCAACTAATGACCAGCATTTGAAACTGAGGAGATATTATGTTTGATGTAATGAAAAAAAGAACAAGACAGTGTTTATCTATTTATGTTCGTAGTTCGCATGTAATATTTCTTCTAAGGAACGTTTTATATAAATATGAACTTCGGCAATAAAGCTTTAGTACAGCAAAAACGTTTTGCTGCATACTCTGCATATCACTAGGGCATCATTGCTCTGTGATAGTCTTTGGTAGTTATTTTATCTGTAGATAGCTAAAGATAATGTTTAAACAGAGTGGACAATTTGTAGATAGTGCAAACTATTAAACAACTAAGCAAAAAATCTATAATATCTCGTTCAAAAACTTAAAATAGAACAAAATAAGTTTACATAGAACTTACAAATTTCAAAAATATCTGCTTTGAAAAGCTTCCATTGATATTTATGAAAAGACACCTGGTGAATTGATAATTTTGATCATCTCTATATTTTGAAGGTGTGCCATTAGCAATGTCTGAAAAGAGAATAAAGAAATGTCTTTGATACAGCATGAATCAAATTCATGTCTCTTTCTTTCTAGCTGCTGGTAAAGATGGTTGGTTTAAATGGTTTAAAGCAAGTTATATTGTTAAATTTCTTCGTAAGTAATTCATAAAAAAAAAATTTTAAAAGAGACAAATTACATGTACAATAAAATGTGCCATATTTATATCTCGCTCAGGATACTACTGTCACAGACTTAACCACGAAGATGTGTCACATTATAGATGTACCCAAATCTACTGCTAAGAGTTTTTTTCTAGATCATTTTTCGATTATTCAGTGTTCTAAAACACGTTGAGAAATCGATCAACGATTGAGAATAGACTATCTCGAAGTAGTCTAATCGAGATAAAACCGATTCGTAAGAGGGAGATCTAAAAAGATCTCACTCTTAGACTGTGAGAATAGGTGTTACCATATCGAATTAAATTAAGAAAAAATGTAATTATTTACTTCCTCAAAAGAATTAACAGAATCAACGAAGACTAGATTCGAATTAACTACGCCATCAAAATGCAAAATATGTCGTAACGAGCACCTCATGGCGCAGTTTCATGTGCTGTACATTGTATCACAAACTGCGACACATATTTACTAGTACTTGTTCGTAAACAATTGATTCGCTTTACTAACTATCCTGTTAATATAAAAACGAAAAGGCAACAGGTTGATAGGAGAGAAGGAATTTGTTTCTCCGCTCAATGTTTCTTTTTTATTTAACTATAAATATACAAAATAAAATAATGGAGAAGCGATTGAAGTTTTTACTACATTTGACTTCGATAATATTCTGAAACAGACAACTTTTAGTAGTCAATGGGCGTTTTTTTTGTCTCAGAATATTAATTGAAAAAAATAATGAACAACAGATGAAATTATTTTTGGAAACATAATCAATCTATTTTGTAACGATATAAAATTGATTCTTCTACAGTACTGAATTTAGAGAGAAGAAAGCAGAAACACAAAACACAAATGTCAATTGCTAGAATTCTGTCAATAAAAAACAATAATTATTTTAAGAAATACTCTACGAGTAATCGATATTTTTGATATAGATCGCGGAAATGATAAGAGTTAGCAACTGCAGTTGTCACGATTGGAAACAGATGCTCGAACTACACCCACTATGTAATGTTCAATATAGTCACTATATGATGAAATTGTTCATCTATCCATTTTAAAAGAAGCACTTAGAGATAGATAGTATATATTTTTATTTTCAGAGAGCGCTTTGGATAAGTATAAACCCGAAATTTATGTTTTGTTTTGTTTAAAATATATAGATATAATACGAAAAATTGAATATTTTGCATCAACCTTTGCGAATATTTTTTTTTAACTTTCGAAACTCTCAGAGACATCCACATATAAGTTCAAAACTATTCGGAAGCGAATGCCACTGTTAATTATACTTTATTGGTTCTATTCTCTTTCGGTATTGCCATTCCATCTAAATAGAAAGGATAGAAATATTGTGCCTAGCTTCAGGAAAAATAAAGAATCGAGTCGAGTTCGTTGCCTAATTCCAATATCGAAGATCAGTATTTTCAACGAATACAAAACAATGTCTTTTTAATGTATTTCATTAGCTGTCAACTACTTAGGGCAATCTAAAGGTAGTGGCGGAGGTACTTTATTTTCTTATAGAAAGCTTGAAAAAATTTTCTTTTTCTATGATGTGATAGAGAAAATGGCGCTCTATTTTTCTATGCTATTTGATCACTATTCAACTAAAATCATAATAATAAAATTCCGATAAGAACTGTTTTTGTTGAAAATTAGCTGGAAACATTAGATCATAAGGGGTGGAGTACTTTTGCATTTCACTTTATTATCACTTAATACATTGTATCAAAAAAAGGAAAATATACAATAAGATACAGCGTGAAAAGCTCTACAATTTACAAAGAACAATCATAAAAAGATGAGATAGGAAAAAACGAATTCGTCTTTTACCAAAACAAAATCTCGTTTTCTCAACGTCGAAATTTGCACGCTCAGACTTTTATCGATTTTGAAAACAAAAAGTGCAACTATAAAATAAGCGATTCTTTATAAATTGTAGAGATTTTCACGCTGCATCTAATTGTATATTTAGTTTTAATACAACGTATTAAGTGATGATAAAATGAAATGCAAAAGTTCCCAATTTTTTTTATGCCACATCCATTATGATTTAATACTACCAGCTAATTTTCAACAAAAACAGTTCTTATCGGAATCTTATTATTATGATATTAGTTGAATAGTGATCAAATAGCATAGAAAAATAGAGCGTCATTTTCTCTATCATGTCATAAAAAAGGAAAATTTTTTCAAGCTTTCTATAAGAAAATAAAGTACCTCCGCCATTACTTTTGGATGGCCCTAGGTATATTATCCAAGCAAAATTAGTTTAGCCAATGGGCAAGTGAAAAGAATTCTTCTTTGTTCAGCTAAAAATTACATTACGTGATTATAAATAGAACTGATAAACTGTTGTAAAGGCTTCTGTGTTTCTCGTTTATATTGATTTGAACTTTTCGACTTGATTTATCTGACTTTTTGACTAAACTATTTGTCAGAAAGACAAGTAAATGACAGACATTTATATTTCATGTTATATTTTCACATTGGTCTAGTCAAATTAAAGATGGAAAATCCTCAACTCATCCACGCCATTTTCGATGATATTTCGTTCATATGTTGGAGACAGTATCTAGGAAAATCCCTAAGAGGATTTGGGCTGATAGACCTTCCTTTAGGAGTTATAGCCGTTTTACTGATTTTTTGAGCTAGCATAAGGTAAATACAGAAAAATCAAACAACAGAATTTTAACCTGAAATTTTGCCCATATATAGTGCTCGTGGTCACTAGAATACTCTAAAAGTTTCAGTAGAAAAAAAAAACGTTTCCTTCTCGTGATGTTGATTTATTAAGAAATTCAATCTTTGTGCACTATATACGTTATGAGACAGTTTTTGAAAATCAGTATCTCGAGAGGAAAACATTTTTTCCACTGAAACTTTTAGAATATTCTAGTGACCATGAGCACTATGTATGAGCAAAATTTCAGGTTAAAATTCTGTTGTTTGATTTTTCTGTATATACTTTATGTTAGCTCGAAAAACCAGTAAAATGACAATAACTCCTGAAAGAAGATCTATCAGCCCAAATCCTCTGAGAGATTTTACTAGAATACTGTGCCTAACATATGGACAAAATATCACTGGAAACGACGTGAATCAGTTGGAGGATTTTCCATCTTTANCTAATATCTTCAGATGGTTTTGTCTCGGTTCTCGAAAAAATCAAATTGAGCGTGAGGACGTGAGTTAGATTTATGTTTTCAGTCGAGCGAGAAAACGTTTTATGTGTTCGATATAGTACAATCTCTAATCATATTACTTGTCCACAGATTACAAGTAGTGCGTCAGCCATTGGGACTCGCTTAACTCAGTCCTGAAAGTAGAGTGTGGTGAAAATAATAGAATATTCTCGAAAAATATTGTGGCCTGGCGACTTTGATAGCCTATGAGTCCTTGTTATCGTAGCCGGCCACTAGGAGTGTTACTTTAAGAGTATTTCCATGGGATCTCAACCATGCATACAAAAGTGCTCGCCGATTTTGATGAAATTTTCAGCGTTTGTAGAGCTTTTAATTCTAAGCATTTTGATAAAAAAGTTTTTAAAAAGCTTTTATTTTGATGGAGATTGACTCAAAATACTATAAGCACTATAAACGAAAAAAACGTGTTTTTCTCACGGTTTTCCCAACAGTTTTCGGGCTTTTTGTACACCAAAACAAGGCCAAAAATAAAATCTAAGACCATATTCGGATTCCTTGCAAAAAGGCGCATCGAATCATATTAGATTTGTCTGAACTTTTGAAAACAATTGAGGCATATATGCTCACAGACCACATGCCAAAACAGCATTTTTTCAGTGTTTGATTATTCCAAAAAGCCGAATTGCTCGATAGACTGGTTTAGTCTATTTGATAGAGCTTGGCTTGCTCTACAATCCCTATATTACAGAATTTCCAGCGTTTTTGACACACCTAAAATATTGGGTCTACTTTATTTTCACCTATATTCTTAGGAGAGGATTTGCTACAGAGCTGTCAGAAAAAAATCTTTTAATTTTCGATTCAGTTATCCACAACGAAAGGTCTAGTCAAACCCCAGTTAAATTCAAAATATCAGGTCATTTGATTTTACGTAAGGAAAAGGTGAGCTGAAACAAGTAAAAAGAGTCTATTTTGACCCCGAACAAGTCACTAAAAAGAAGTGTGCTCAGTATTTTGACATTATCTCTAGAACGGTTTGACGGTTTGAGGTCGGGAATGTCTGATTAGATAGAGAACAGTATAGGCTACAAATTCATCTTAGTTACGTAACCGTTATATACGGTAAATAAATCGAGGTAGAATCAAAAACTGTCAAAGCTCAAGAAATCTCACTTTCAGAGATAGCGGTATTTTGGACTGTTTTTTCTGTGGGGTATGCGCTCCTAGAACTTCTTTTTTTTTATCAAACATAGATCTCATGAAGACACATCTTTTGACATTAATTTGCCTAGCACAAGCCACTAAGGGGTGAAGTTAGCAAGGACCACACGATGGTCAACCCTACCCGGTCACGATTAATCCTATCTCTGGAAGTCCTTGCTAACTTCACCCCTCAGTGGTTTGTGTTAGACAAATTAATGTCAAAAGATGTGTCTTCATGAGATCTATGTTTGAAAAAAAAGGAAGTTCTAGGAGCGCATACCTCACAGAAAAAAACAGTCCAAAATACCGCTATCTCTGAAAGTGAGATTTCTTGAGCTTTGACAGTTTTTGACCTTACCCCCGACTTATTTACCGTATATATCGGTTAAGTAACTAAGATGAAGGGTGGGGGCGTGGGGTGAGGGTGTGGGTATGTGGGTGTGGGTATGGGTGCGTGGGTGGGATGTGGGTGTGGGTTAATTCTGATCTTCTTATCACACCCACAACTTGGCGTAAAACTTTCACTCACTACTTTCTTCGAAAATTCGTGCGGTCTCACAAAATAGACAATACAATTTGTTTATATAGCTTGGCGTGGAAACACATAAATACAAGAGAGTTGTATTTTGAGTCTCAAAGTTATTGATATTGAATATTGGTAGCAGTACTACAATAGTGCCTTTTGATTTTATTCCTGTGACATCCATATGTACATCATTTTATGGAGAACCAAATGCTGTATGTCACAGAAAATACTTAGTTCAAATCTATGAAAAGTAGAGAAGATATTTAGAAAAGGCGAAAACTTTTATTCATTCTTGTCCATCCTTCAGTCTCAAAAAATAGAGTTCGAATTCGGGTTCCTGTTCCTCCCACCTAAAAACCAATGTTTGACTATGACAGAACATCGAACAATCGCTTCTCCAACTGAGGAATGTGATTTTGATTTTCCATCAATCATACTGTAGGCAAATCGATCAAAAATATCCATTCTGCAAGCTCTCCTTTCGAGATTGAGAATGACTTTATTTCACTGTTTAATAATGTGAGCATAGAAATATGCTTTTGTTTATATCTATATAGAATAAAATTGTTAATATAGAGAATAGACTTGACACAAAAATGCAAGGGGGAAAAGGGAGATCCTGGGATCCATTAGGATCCGCCAGGATCCATAAGATCCACTAGGATGCATAATTCAAAATATGTTCTGGATGAATCAATGTGAGCACCATGTGCTATTTATACAACTATGACTAGTCTACTTTACAAAGGAAAAACGGACCTTGAGACATGCCACGATCTATTGGACTCCATTCGAAGCCATTAGAATACATCGAAACAAAGTAAACAGACGAAGAATTGGCCCTAGAATTTTTGAAAACAGAGAATAAAGAAACCTCGGAGATTGAGAGCCTGGTGGGCCCCGATGAGCTTTTGAGTATCTGAATGAGTTCTGCGGTTTATACGATAGAACAAGATCCATCAAG